AAGGTGCTGAATTACACACTGTTTACCATCTGGCTGGGGAAACTGTGGCCATGTGGGCATAATATGAAGCTTCCCTAGTAATCTGTGGGCAGCTGGACTCACCCCAAGGACACTTCCACCAGCTGGGAACCCAGAAACAGTCCATAAACAAATAGGTCCACGTGGGAGTGACTGGCAGCCCCAACAAGCCCTTCCAGAAGCAGTCAATTTGTCAAACAACCAATTCACCAAAAATATGTTTCTATTAACTCTATATAATAACATTTATAGCACTGATGAGGCATGGGACAAGTTTAATAGTTTATGAGAATTTTTCTCAGTGCTTTATTTTGACAGTGGCTTTGCTGCAACCATTTCCCCACAGCTGTCCTCAAGTAATTCTGCCATATATTTTGGAGCTCGAGGAGAGTCATCTATACCCCGGATCCCTATGGGTAAAACCACTTAGCATGACAAGGATGAATTTCCCTTTCTTTGAAAGGTATCTGTTTTCAAGTTATCCCAGGATCCCAAAGGCCATGGTTACTGAAGCCTTCACCTCATATCCCTTTTTATAAACCAACACCACATGTCTAAATTTAAATTTCCAACATATTCATTGGCCTGGGCAAATTCTTAAAATATTTTTACAAATTAAACTATCAGGAGGAACTTCTAAATAGGAAAGGAAAAATAAATAGCTAGTGAACTCACAGAGACTTGGTGTGGGGAAAAAAGTACCAGTTACTGTTTCATCATTCATGGATGATAGAAATGTGTCACCCTGAGGCTATGGCTCATCTGAGGAATTCTCTCAAAGGAGATTTCCACGCTGTGATCCTGTGTACGATGCCGCAAAAGCACATTCTAACTTGCGGTGTCTTGTAGGTAAGGAAACCAATACTGCTCCCAACCAGTGTTTATCCTTTATGAGGGATTATACTACCTAAATAAAAAGCAGAAACAAAGGGCCGATGATGTGAAGGAAAGGGATTTGATGACGTGTAACAATCTATAAATGTGCGATCCAACTGTGTTTTAGATAAATGTCGCCTGAAATTCAAATCCTGAAGTTATAACCATTTCATTGTCAGAATGGCATATGTAACATAACTAACCCAAACACCCTAATGGTGATGTTTATCTACAAAAGGGTAGAGAATGATCTATTAGGTGATGAGCAATGCTAGGTATGATCATTGTTATTAATTTCTCTAAAGCAGTGAATGTGAAAGGATAAACAAATTACATACACACAGAGAGAAGGCAACAATTAAAATGTTACAGAGAGAGGTGAAGCTCTCTCATGCAGAAGTCACTGTGCAGATTGGAACAAAAGAAATGAGAGGAAATTTGCAGAAAGTCTATCAAATGAGGGACAGAACAGGTGAATCTTGGAATAGGGGATTCAAAGTCCACTGAGGAGGAGAAACAACGTGAGGTCAGAAACAAGTTTTTGCCCATAGAAGTCTGCGCAAGAAAAAAAATCACCGCTGATTTAAAGCAGAGAGACAGGCATCTCATCATTTTTGTGCCACTAACATAAATATGAAACCAAACGCTAGCCCAGCATTCTGCCTCAACTTTGCTGACAAGACAAATGATGCAGCCAGTAAGATCTAAAATATAATTATTGTAAGACTTCAAACAGTTCATAGCTAAGCTAAACTCAAAGCAGAAATGATGTGTTTGGAGACTGGAAATTAGTATTTGAAGGAACTATGTTGGCAATATAAATTAAAGCAGGGATTTGGAAAAAAGTTTTTGAAAAATCCACAGCTAACTTGACATTAGCAGTTAAAAATTAAGTGACAGAGTTGAGTGGATCATCCAGAAAAATGAACTGTAAATCAGAAGGCATTAGAACAGCAAGGGTCACTAATTCAGTTGCAGTTACAGTGTGTCATACTTAGGAGACTGGAAATAAAGTTATGAAGAGTCGGTAAACAATGTTTATTTAGCCTGTGTCACCAGAAATTTTGGAAATACAGTACACAGTGAAAAAGAAAAAAACTCTTATTTTTGAACAGGTGAAGTTAAGTCACTATTTTTCAAAAAGATTTCCTTTAGTTATTTTGTGCATATACACAATAATCATATGGTTAGTCAGTAATTCATAAGTAATTAACCCACCTTAAACAAATCCATATGAATATGCATACACTGCGTTCCAAAATTAAATGCAGAAAATAGTTTCCACTTTATGCCGAGTGGCTTTAACCGTATAGTCTGAGAGTTGTGCATTGCTCCTCCCCATTATTTCAAAGGCCCTCCCTCAGTATTACAGGCCTTTTATAAACAATTTGCTCAGTCTTCTTAAAACAAAAGCTGTGAAGAAGGAAATCTATATGTAACCCTGAAAGGCTGTGATTTAAGAGATGTGAATCTCTTTATAGACTGATCCTAACGTTTCCCTACCTATAAGCTGTATTCTAAGTCTAATGTCATAGAAAAGTGGTCCAACGGAAGGAAACTGAGTAATAAATCATGCCTAAGAATGTATAAACCTTTAAAATTACATTTTCTCTATAATATATAAAGATTAATGTAAACAAAATAAAAATATAACTGTAATTAAAGTGATATAATTACAGTGATATAACTGTAATATAGTTATTTTGATGTGTAGTTTTTCTGATGACATGAAGAAAGATAACACAATGGTTTAAAAAGTCCAACAATTCTTTCACCATCTTTTACCAGAATGTGTAACAGGAATCACTTACAGCTTTCTTTCACTAATCAGACCTTGTTTTTCTATGAATTTATAAGCCTTGAAAAGAGAACAAGCTGATATGAACTAAAAAGATGGAGCAGATCAATTTACTATGGTTTGAAATCCAGCAGTATATCAGCAATTTGAGAAGCACATTTGTTAGAACTCATAAACAGCAAGTGTTAATGGGGAGTGTATATACTAAAGTAAACACCCAAGAGACTGAAAATGTAGTCATGGACTCTTCCAGCACTGACTCATGGCCTCAATTCTGGTGAATCTCCATTCACAGAACTTAGTGGACTCTGAGCTACACCCACACTCCACCAACGTCTTGGTCTTCTCCACTCTGTTGCCTACTGACTCTTTAAGCTACTCACGAGTCCAATCCATGAGCAGCCTGAGCTTCACAAATTCACATCATCCCCAGAGAGAAACACACCGTTTTCACCGAATCACTCAAAGCTTCCCACTGCTGGAACGGCATCGATATCTGGCTCCTCCGCCAGTGGTCATAGCGGGCTCGACTTTCTTCATTGGTCAGTATCTCCTTTGCTTTCTGCAGTTTCTGAAAAGTCTCCACTGGAAAACAAATTAAGAGATGAGCACTTTCCTCTTGGATAGCTTATTTTAAACTCCAAAACCATCAAACAGATCTCACTAGAATCATGACTCTGCCACTTACTAGCTATGTGACCTTGGGCCAGTTTACCTAGTTAAGCTCTAGTTTCCTCATTTGTAAAGTGTATTATAAGGACAAGAGAGAGCATGTATGTAACGTGCCTGGCTCACAGTTTATCCACTCCCTTTACTGTGCTCCAGTGTTGTACCAGGTACTGATGACACAGGTCTGAGCAGACATCATTAGTGGGAGAGATCAACATTTATAAACATTGGAAAAATATAATTTTGGCTACTAGGAAGAAAACTACCTTCTCTAGTGATATTTGTTAGGAAGGGAAGTGGCCAAGCAAGATGGACAATATAAATGAAGACTCTAAGGCAGAAAGGAGCACAGTAATTTAGAGGAAGTAGAAATTTCCAATGTGGCTGGAGGAAACAGGGCCAGGGGGAGAAGATGAGGGGATAGGGGAGTAGAGCAGATAAGGTCCCAGTCATCCAGGGCTTTAGAGCCTTAGATGTCATGCTAAGGATTCTGGTCTGGGTTTTGTCATACAAACAATGGGAAACTGTTGGGAAGCTTTGAGTACAGTAAATAACATGGTAGTTGCTCAATAAATGGTAGCTTCATCACTGATCGATTTAACCAGATGGCATATACAATAGAAACCTTTCATGGCCCTGTTGGAAACACTTCCAAAGCCTTTTCTGCCCCTCAGTGAAGTTAAAGCTTTCTGTAGAGCAGGACATAAGATCAATATACAAAAATCAATTGTTCCTATACATTAGCAAGAAACCATCTGGAAATGAATAAATTCATATAAATTCAATTTATGGTATCATCAAAAAGAATAAAATACTTAAGAAAAATTTTAACAAATGAAGTACTCTTTTCATACACTAAAAACTGCAATATTGTTGAAAGAAATTAAAGATCGAGATAAATGGAAAGACACCCCATGTTCATGGATTAGAAGACTTACTATTACTAAAATGCTAATACTCCCCAAACTGATCTACAGATTCAATATAATCTCTATCAAAATCCCAGTTGCCTTTTTTTTTTTTTTTGCAGAAATAAACAAGCTGGTCCTAAAATCCATATACAAATGCAGGGAACCCAGAATAGTCAAAACAATCTCAAAAACTAAGACAAAGTCGGAGGACTCACACTTCTTAATTTCAAAACTTACTACAAAGCTGCAGTAGTGAAAACAGTACAGTACTGACATAAGGACAGACATATAGGTAAATGGAATAGAATTGAGAATTCAGAAATAAACCTTCACATTTAGTCAACTGATTTTCTACAAAAGCGCCAAGACAATTCAATTGGGAGAGAACAGCCTTTTCAACAAATGGTTCTAGGACAACTGGATATCCACATATAAAAGAATGAATTTGGATCCCTACCACAAACCATATACAAATATTAACTCAAAATGGATCACAGATCCAGATGTAAGAGCTAAAATTATAAAACTCTGAGAAAAAACATAGGAGTAAGTCTTTGGGAACTCAAATTAGGCAATGATTCCTTAGATTGACACGAAATGCACAAGCAACAAAAGAAAAAGTAGAAATTGGACTACATCAAAATTAAAACTTTTGTGCTTCAACACATGTCATCAAGAAAGTGAGAAGACCAACCACCAAAAAAAGAAGAGAAAAGAAAAGAAAGTGAAAAAATAACTCATGGAATGGGAAAAAATATTTGCAAATCATAGACTTGATAAGGTACTTTTTTTTTTTCCTTTTTGTCTTTTTTACTGACCGGTAACGGGATCGCAACCCTCGGTGTTGTGCCCGCACCACGCTCAGCCAGTGAGCGGGAACCGGTCTCCACATGGGATCCGACCCCTCGGCGGGAGCGCCGCCACACTCCCAAGCGGTGCACTCTCCAGCGTGCCACCGGGCCAGCCCAATAAGGTACTTTTTAAATAAAATTTATAGGATGCTACTGGTTTGGACTGAGCTCCTGCACTAAACCTAACCCAAAATAGAGTTGCTCATGCTAAAGTTCCACATCACCAAACCAAAATTAAATTGTTTATCTGAACTTCCAAGAAGTCAGGAGAAAAAGAGATAAGAGCCAAATCCCCGAACAGGCCAGTTTTAGCTGGCATGGTGAAGAAGTTTTCTCTGCTTTAATTATACAAAGAAAGCAACTTTGAAACAACCAATCTGCTTTTTGTTCTCTGTTTCTGCTTTCCTCAGCCCTTTTCTGTCTAAAAATCAACTTCCTCTGCTCAGCTCACTGGAACACTCAATCCACCTTATAGAATGAAATATTGCCTGATTCTAGAATTGCAATAAAAGCCAATTGAGATATTTAAACTAAACTTGTAATTTTGTCTTTTGACAAAATTTTTTTAATTTATAAAGAACTCACACAACTCAATAATAATAAGGCAAATAACCCAATAACAAAAAGAACAAAGGGCTTAAACAGACATTTCTCCAAAGAAGATAGCCAATAAGCACATGAAAAGATGCTCAACATCATTAGTCATCGGGGAAGTACAAATCAAAACCACAGTGAGATACCACTTCATACTTACTAGGATGGCAGAAATAAAAAGACAGATAACAACAGGCGTTGGCAAGGATGTGCAGAAATTGGAACCCCCATACATGGCAGGTGGGAATGTAAAACAGTGTAATCACTTTGAAAAACAGTTTGGCAGTTCCTCAAAATGTGCAACAGAGTTAACACACGACCCAACAATTTCAATCCTATGTATATATCCATAAGAATTAAAAACATTCATCCACACAAAAACTTGTATATGATAGCAGCATTATTCATAATAGCCCAAAAATGGAAACAACCCAAATGCCCATCAACTGGTGAATGCATAAATAAAATGTGGTATATCCATGTAAAGGAATTATCATTCAGCCATAAAAAGGAATAAAATACTGAAACATGCTACAACATGTATAAGTCTTAAAAACATCCTGCTAAATGAAAGAAGCCAGTCATAAATCTATGTGAAACATACAGAATAGGCATATCTATAGAGACAGAAAGTAGCTCTGCTAGGGGCTGGGCAGGCGGGAATGGGAAGTGATTACTAAAGAGTATGGGGTTTCTTCTTGTGACGAAATGTTCTGAAATTAGTAGTGACGGTTGCACAGCACTGTGAATATACTAAAAATCACTAAAATGTACACCTTAATAGGTGAATTTTACAGTGTGTGAATTCTATCTCAATACAACTGTTCTGTAAAAAAATAAAAAACTATCTCTAGAGGTAATGGAAGTTTTTTATCCTGATTATGGTGGTAGTTACATGACTCTATACAGATGTTCAAATTCATAGAACTGTTTACCAAAGAAGTCAATTTTACTGTATGATAATTTTTAAAATAAAATTATTCTAAAAATATACCTAAAACCACACAGAAGATAACTTGTGAGAGGAACAAAGATAGAATCATAAGTGGAAAGCACTGTCGTAACAACAGTTATTTATAAGTACCTAATCTGTGCCAGGATCTGTGCTAGACTTGGCATAGATCACATTTCTCTTTAAAAAGGGTAAACTTTCATATGAGGGTATTATTAATATAATATGAGGGAATTATTATTATTATCCCCATTTTACAGAATCTAAAGCTGAAAAAGATTAATGTAACTTGTCCAAAGCCTGCCAGACTCCTAACATGTGCTCTCCAGGCTACACCTGACCACCTTCCTGCCCCTTCCATTTTCCTGCAGTGCATGTTGTATTCTAACCCCCACCTTCTCCTTCAAATCCATCATTCATCAGTAAGATCCAGGTCTTGCCCTTGAGGAGCTCAGAGTACAGTGAGGAGACACATAAAAACAAACCATTTCAATACAACATGATAAATAGAACTATAGAAGCAAGACTGGCTCTTCTTGGGGAGTCAGGATGTACTTCATTAGTCTTCTGTATACCTGGAGTCATTCTTGGCTCTTCTCTCTCTCTCTCAAATCTTATTTCCAAACAATTAGCAAACCCTGTTGGCTCTACTTTCAACATAAACCCAAGATTTGATCTCTTGTCAAAACCTCAACTGCCACCACTCTGGTCCAAGTTGTTCCTCTTCCAGCTGGATCTCCCTGTCTCTGCCTCAGTCTATTTTCTTCACAGCAGAGTGATCTTTTTTAAAATGTCACACAATATCACTCCTCTGCTTAAAACTTCCAGTGACTTCACAGTTGTCTTAGAATATAATCCAGAAATTCTTACCATGGCTACTAGACCTGATCTCTATCTGTCTCTACCTTCTCTGAACTAATTTCCTTCTACTCTCTCCCATCTCCCCTTGCTCCAGCCACAATCATTGTTCCTTAAGTACACCAAGCACACTCCAGCCTCAGGGCCTTGGCACTTGCTGTCCCTAACAAGAACACTTTTACCCCGGCACCTAAATGGCTCACTTCCTTCAGATGTCAGCTCAGATGTCACCTTATCAGTGGGACCTTCTCTGAGCATGCCATATAAAAAGGCTGCCCTACTCCCTTCCATCAGTGCCCATCAGCCCCACTCCCTTGCCCTACTTTACTTTTCTTCATAGTACTTATCCCTGACGTTACATTGTTATTTCTTTATGATCACTCTCCTGTCCCAGAATATGAACTCCATCTGGTCAGAGACTTGTCTTGTTCTCTGCTGCATCCCTTTCTCTAGAGCATTGTAGTTGGTGCCCAAAAAGTATTCATTGAATGAATGAATAAATGAATGAATGAATGTTTCCTATTCTGAGTGTGAATATAAAGATATTCTTATAGTGCTATTCCCTGAGCTCCAAGCACCAAAGAAATGACACAAATCCTCAAAACATTTTGTGATATAGGAACATTTTCACAATATCATTGGGAAAAACAATTAAAATTACCCTGATAGTGCTTAAAATTAATTCATGAGAAGTAACCAAGATCCTCTGAAACAGGAAGTGTTAGGACAAATATGCAGTCAGTACTTACA